AGCAACATAAGGTGTGGGATGTGCCACACCCTCTATTACTAGTTCGCCCATTTTTTCCCGAAATGTTCATGTGTCAAAGTTGTCCGTGCAAAATTTGATTACTCTAGTTGTACCAGTTTTAAAGATATACGACTTTTAATTTATTTAGTAATTGGCACTTATGGTTAAATCTGATTTAAGATAGATTTTTTTTCCTTACTTAAAGTGAGCATAGAGTGAGCTTTGGGCTTAGGTGGTATAAAATCTATAACAATATTGTTCAAATTAAAAAAATCATACATCTCATAGCCTTTTAATAAAGAAGTGTAGTAAATATATTAATTTATTTACATATTTTCATAATACATACTAGTAAAAATGAAAATATTTATACGAAAAACTAATTGTTGTAGTATAAAAGCTATGTAATTTAATTTTATATTATTTTATAAATTCTTAATTAAAACTGTTTATTTTATGGTTAAATCCAGAAAATTTTTGATAGCACATTAATCCTTTTATAACCCGTTCACACGAAGCAATTATTCGACATTCACGCTCTTATTCGCCATTCAACCCCCCATTACGAACTGAATTACATGATTCGCCATACAAAATTTCACCTACGAATTACACATTTGTTGGAAAGAAATAAAAAATAAAATTACAAATAAATAGAAAAAATATTACTTAATTTTTTAAAGTAGTTACGTATTTTTGTATCTTACACATATGTATTCTTAAAAAATAATGAATGAAAAAAAAACATGGCGATGAACTGTCAAAATGAATTACGAATGAGTCGTGAAAACGGGTTTACTGTTCGTGTGAACATGGTATTATACACGTTTTAGTGTTCTTTAATATTTTTGATAAAATTTTCAAATGTGAATTTAGTGTTCATCATATGTAAAAAATGATTAATAATACAAGGGAACATCGAATTCCCGATAAAAATTTAAAATAAATCACTCAGATCTAAAGAAATTTTAGAAGAAACTATTAAAATGTCACTTTTTCAAAATTATACAAATTATCTTATTTAATTCCACAAAAAATTAAATAATTGTGAATATATAAATCTCATTGAGTTAATCGTTGTTCTCGATTTAACCTTATTTTCATTTTTTAGAATTACTCCAACAGATTTTTAAAGTGTAAAAATAGTTCCTAGTTTATTTTAGTTCTTAATATAAAACCTCAATCAAATATTTTGAGAATTATTAAAATTTACAAAATATAATTGTAATATATTCACTTACAAACAAACATATGTGTACATATGTATGTATGTACATTAGGGTCATAACCAAAATTAGGCCCTATCAGTAGAGGTAGCTAAAAGTGTTATAATAATAAAAACAATTTACTCGAATAATTTGGTGTAAAAACTTTCCGTGGCTTGATCGACTTGATTTTCTAAAACCATTTAAAAACAAATTTACATGAAATTTTAATAGTATTATTATTAATATTAATAATTCTACATATTTGGACCGCAGCTTTCTTCCGTGCAAATGTCATGGGCCAATGACACTTGTTTATATCAACAATATTCATTCAATAATTATATCTTAATAAATTAAAAAAGATTTTTAGACTAAATACGATTTGAATTTTCAAAAATTTTATAAAAGTTATAAACCTAATGAACATACTTACATATACAATATATATTATACATACATACAAATTTATTGGATGGTTGGTATTTCCCTAAACAAATAAGAAAAAATTTTCAATGTTTCATATTTGTAATTTATAAATGGTTACAAACAATCTTCACTTTTTTATTTAATGTCTTCATGAATGTAATGTAGTTTATTATTATTATTTTTTGACACATTTTTTATTTATTTTATTTTTACCCAAAGAACTTACCAAAAGAACTTACTCTTTAAAAAATATATGAAAACTGCAAAATATTTTTTTTTTTTGTGTTTCAATAAAAATGTAAAACTTTTTCGCACTAACAGTGATTTTAATGACTGCCAATGACATTTCCTTTCCATTGACAATTAACAAAACAAAGATATATATTTAAGTATTTGCTAATATATTCGCTTATTGCTTAAAAACAAGTTTTGCAAAATTTAACATTTAAGTAAAACATATTACTAAATGCAAACAAACAAAATTTCATCATACGAATAATTTTGAAAGTTTAGTATAATAAAAACAAGAAAACATTTCAGTAAATTCAAATATGTTTTTAACTTATTATTCTTAAAAAAAATATAATTGCATAGTTAAGTTGAAACAACAAAGGAGAAGAAAAGTTTTAAATGGAAGCAAGAGAATTGAACCTGTCATTTCGAAAAGGGCATGAGTCCGTTAACAGTGGAAAGATATAATGTCGTAAAAAAGAAAAATGTGTTTATTTTTATTAAAAAATAAATACAAAGATATTGTGCAATTATTTTGAGATAAAGTTTTTGGACTAATGCCCTATTCAAACAAAATTTAGAATAACTTTAGAAATTTTCAACCGATTATTGTGTATTAAATATTGTTTGAACGATAATTGCATATGTGTTAAGTTTGTTCACCATAACAATTAAAAAATATTAATTTAGTGGTAAAATAGTTGCAAAAACATAGTTTTCGTTTTAAATAATTCAGAGGCACATCACAACCAAATAAAATAGTCCGATTGCCTTACATTTCCCGGAAATATATATGTATATTTTTATAACCCAAAGTACAACATAAGATAAGGGTCGGTCATTATTTGCAACTTTTGCAAAAATACAGAATTGAATATTGGAAAGCAAGTATATTTTTCCATACAAACCGAAATGTTCAATGGATATAAAAATTGAAAAATATAAAAATAAAATCCTGCAATAAATAAAATAACAAAAAAAAAAATAATTCAAAAAAATGTGACTCGTGCCCTTTTCGAAATGACTGTGTCAATTAGCTTACAGAGCAACCATTAAATAATAATCATACACAAAGTATGTACTTTAGCGGGTCAACAGTTACTCCATTCAATTGATGATTCAATTAATCTAAAATCTTCTACGTTTTAACATACGTTTTGTTTAAAAAGAGAAGATAGAAATGTGCTTTATTCCATTGAATCAGAAATCAGAAATAAAGTAAAAAAACATAATTTCATTAATAAATTGTTTTTATTAAACAAAAATATTTTAAGAACTACAGTTTAAAAACAGTTAAATACAATTAAAATTCTAAAAGATTTATACAAATTCTTATTTCTTATTTTATCTTCTGTTGGCATTTGGTATTTAATCAATTGAAGAACATACACATGCAGGTTTGACTTGAATAATGACTGTAAAAAGTGTAATCGTATTCTTTAAAATATTCCTGAGGCACTTCATCAAGAATTAATAAATTGAAAAATATTTTTCCATTGTTGTGTTTGTAAACATCAAGTAAATGTATTGACACACCTTAATTACGAAGATTCTTATTGTCTTTAAAGGAAATTACTCAAGGATTTTTTCTGTTTTCTTTTCCTAAACTCTATCAATTGTTACTGACATTTATTCATTTGTTTTCCAGTTTTAGATTTATTCACTTCTACAGAAAACAGAAAAGTTTTAATTTTGTTTCTATTTATACCCTACACCACTATAGTGGTCCTACACCAATCAGAATCACTTTCATAGACAATTTAGCTATGTCCGTCCATCTGTGTGTCTATGTAAACATTGTGCATAGGCTACAAGACAATTTACAAGATAATTTGATGAAATTTGGCATATACCTTTCGTTTGATCCATGGAGGAAGTCTATTAAAAATGGTTAAAATCGGTCCATTATTTCGACTAGCTGTCATATAACCGTACCCCCCGAATAGGGCTTTTGAACTCACAATTATGTTAAATGTTGTTTTATCTCTTAAAAAAAAACGGCAAAACTTAGTTTTATATAAGTCTAAATGATTCTGCTAAATGATCGGGCCTCATTTGACCCTATCCCCTATACAGAAAATTCCTCTGTATGGGGGATAGGGTCCCCCTCTTCAGAAAATTACTTGAAGGTCAAAATTCACTTATAAACACTAATATCACCATGATATTCTATTTCAAAAATTTTTAAGCCAATAAACAACTTGAATGGTTTATTATTTAAAATAATTAACATTATATACATACATACTACTCACTGGTGTAGTCGGCCATGCCCGACTATATGTTTTTACTTGTTTTATGTTATTTTTTCTTTTTTTCTCGTTTTCTATAATCAATCACTTGTTGAATTTCAACTTTATTATTAACTATGTGTAGGAACTATTTACTATTATAACTACTACTATTAATTTAGAGATAAAAAATATGTCAAGAGATTTTACTTTCTTTTTGTGTAACTGGAACTAAATTTAAGCACAACATATTAACCATTTTTACCCTCATAGTATCCATTTAACAATTAATTACAATTGTCCAAGTATAAATGCAACTCTACATGTTTTATGCTGCTAAGACCTGGTTAACACTGCCAAACTTTTTTTGGGAAACTTTTGATTTTTGTGTGGGAGAGAAAGAGAAAGAAATATCAACCAGCACCTTCTCTCACACACAAAATCAAAAGTTTCTCAACAAAAGTTTCCCAGTGTGAACCAGGTCTTACAAACATTATTTTTCATTTTTCTTCACAAGGATAATTAAAATCCTCTCTCAGAAATACATATGTACATTCATATGTATGTAGATGTTCATGATTGTATTTTGTATGTGTGAAAAAGAAAAATACAAAATGTATGTATGTCATTCAGATGGTAGTATTCAGTTAATTTGTTCCCCATATTCTATATTCAATTAGTTTATTATTGGTTAATACATAGTATTAGTGTCTAGATACATACTTGTATGTGCAATTTCACACATTTAATTAATTTATAATATATATGTATAAATTGTAATGTTTGTTTTTGGTTTTTCTTTTTTTCTCTCTCTCACTTCTTTCTTCTACCCTTTTTCCCACCATCATTCATGATTCCTGTTTATATTCTGCTTGTTGTTTGCTGCAACCATAAACAAATTTAGTGGATTTGACTAATGGTCAGTTAACACCGAACAATAACACACCATTGTTAACTCAGGCATTATCGGGTAAGTATTTAAAAATTAATATGTATATTTGTCCATTTCATAATCGATGTCGTATCATGCATGTCAAATATATTTTACAGATATAATAAAAACAATAAAAAATGACACCGATACTGAATTAGACCGTATTATTTTTGTATGTAAACTTTTCTCTTAATTTCACCCGAATCCATCCGTAGAAAATATTTTTATTGTTCATTTATTAACATATTCCATCAACATACGGCTGTATTTATAAAAACTTATTTTAGGTTTACTAACAATTTTAGGCAAAATTCAGGATAATCGTATTCATAAACGTCAAATAGCTTAAAAGAATAATAAGTTGATTTTAAAAAAATGTTTTCTCAGATATAGCTTTTTCGGTAATTTTAGGTTGATAGCGAAAACTAATTATGGTTTCTTTTAAAATAAAATCTAAAAATTCTAAAAATTCATATCTAGGCATTATTGGATTAATGGTAGAAAATTTGACAATATTCCAATTGGCCAGCACTATTTTTAGGCAATTTGGAAATGCCCGTCTGTCAACCTAATGATGGACAAAATAATTTGATTTGTCTTTTTAAAGTTTGTTGGTTAAATATAATGCCATAAAGTAATTAATCATGTAAATTATATACATATACTAATGCAAAATATATTTGCCGGCGTTAAAATTAGTCAAATATCAAAGAAATTTATCAATATTTGCAAAAATTTATCAAAAATTACAAGGAAAATAAGTAAAAATAAGAAAATGTGCAATATTTTGTAGCAAAATATGCGTTATTCGTATACTTTTAATAATAATTAGAAATTATACGTTATACTAGCATACCCTGGGGGCTTCTCTATCCTAATCAAAATTAAATACATACACAATTTTGTTTTTTTTAATGTTTAAGTTTTTTACGTTCAATATCATGTGAATAAATTCGCATTCAGTAAGAAGCTTAGTTTCATTCGTTTAACTTCCACATTATAGAAAATTTCTAAACTACTATTTGAAAAAAAGTACCATAAAATTTCACTTATAGATTCTCATTTAATCAAAAATTTTATGTTTCTGTGTTCAATATTATTACAATTCAAAAAATATAATTTGGTGAATGAAAAAGTTTCAAAAGTCCCTTTCAGTAGATTCTAAGATTCTAAAGTCCTTACATTTTAAATTTTATATTTCTATGTTCAATATCGTAAAAATATCAAAAAGTAGCATCGGAAAAACGAAAAAGTACAAAAATCTCTATCAATAAATTCTCATTTAATAAGGACCGTGTGTCATGTGTTCCGGTTAACCATTATAGAGAATCCAAAAGGAACTATTTGAAGAATAGAAGTTCCCACTTACAGAATATTACTCAATCAAGACCATATATGTTAAAATTTATGTTCCTAGGTTGAATATTGAAGAAAATTCAAAAAGTACTATTTATGAGATAAAAAGTACTAAAAAGTTCTCTCTTAAAGAATCTTATTCAATGAGGACCGTATATGTTTAATAATCATGTCGTTCCAGTTTTTAATTTTAGTACTAAGTGGATTTACTGGTTCTACTTAAGTATACAAAGGCATTTATCGATATCTTAATTGACTTAGGATTTAGCAAAAGCACCTATGTGATTTCCATAAATTAAATGCTTCAACAAAAAATCCTATGTGTTTCAAATTATATTGATTTAAATCATAAATCCGCCAAAATAATATTTTATTTAAACTAGTTAATATAATACCGTAAATAATGAGTCATCATCACCTGTCTTTTGGTGCACTCATCAATTTAAAATCAATATTTTTATGAAACTTTTTATTTAAAGTACTTGCGGTATTCCACCAAATAAAATTTCAAATTGAAAGTTTAATTGCAACTTCTAAACATATTTGAAATTTTGATTGGACAGATTAATTTTCGATTATTTTTCAAAATAAATATTAATGACATTAGTTAACAAATCCGAAAAGATACATATTTTTCTAAAGCAACGCGATGTAGCAAAAATACAGTTAAATAAACCTGTTTTTTGCTTTTATGAAAACTTTGTTAAAACCCACATAATACTAATATTCAAAACAGGGACGATGTGTTTTGAATTCATATTATAGAACATACAAAGAGTATCATTTGAAGAAAAAAAAATGTGATGAACTAAATATCAAATGGCGAAAACTTAAATGGTTAATTGGTAGAGAAAGCGTTCTATCAATAGAAAACAAATTGCTAATATGTAACCAATCAATGAAACCATCTGCGTATATGGTATACAACTCTGGGGTTGCGCTAACAAGAAATATATCGACCAAATCCAAAGATTTCAAAACAAGGTGTTAAGGAGCGTTGTTAAAGCTCCATGGTATATTCGGAACTCAGACCTTCATCGCGATCTAGGTATGAGAGCTGTTAAAGAATAGATACATACTGTGGCTGCAAAACATGATTCCAGACTAAGAATACATGTAAATGTAGAGGCTTCCCAACTTAATATTACAATTGGACTAAGACGAAGATTAAAGCGAATTAAACCGAGTGACCTACTGGAAACTTAGTCATTATATTTACATTCTCGAGCATCTCTGTGTAGAAAGCATATAATCTGAAGAAAATTGCTTGTTAGTTTGTAATAAAATTAAACTAGTTGCAGTAAATAAAGAAAATAATGAAAAAAATATTGAAGAAAGAAAAAGTAGCAAAAGCGGAATAAATTTTACCTTTGTGGAAAGTACTAATAAAAAGAGTACAATTTTTACCCTTTTCGTTTAGAAACATACTTAGAATTAAGTTTACAAAATGTCCGTAAATCCTTTTAGTAAATCCTTTTAGTCTAGGAATAGACTATTTCGAGAATTATGTTTACAAAATATTTCGTATTTAAATCTATATATCACAGATAAAACTCAAACGATTCAAAAAATTGTGCTTTCAAAAAGGTATCAAACAATTTACTCGAATTTGGTCCTATATAGGCCTTAGTACTCGAATTCCAAAATAATATATCAATAGCTTATTTTGTGTGAGTAAATAAACTACCTTTTCAAATTTTATAAAAATTGGCTCAATGAGTTTGAATGAAATTAAATTTCCCGTTTTTGCCTTTTTTGGTACTTTTTCCCCAGTAAATTAGCAAAAATTTTGTATCAAAAAATATAACAGAGTTAGTCCGTAATTTAATATGAATACTTCAATAAATCGAAAACGTTTCCCCAGTGCGCTAAAAAAAAGTATCAAAAATACAGTTTTCTCCCTTTTACACCCAAAAAGGACCGAATTTACCAAAAAAAGGTAAAATCACCTTTGTTACACATTTTCACCCTTTAAGTGTACTAATTTCAAAAAAGTAACAGACACCCACCTGCATTTAAAATTTTTCTTGTATCACTAATAATTGGTAAGATAATTAAGAAAACCTGTTTTACCCTTTTTTCCCTTTTTTTTACCCCTAAATGTACCAATTTCCAAAAATCCCTCCTTAGTGTGAGTGAGTTTTTTCACTAACACAATCAAAAACTTACCGTTTGAGTCAACAAATTTGATGTGTGGCCATGTCGCTTAAGGTATTTCCAGACTACAATACTGAGTATTAACACACTTCAAATTAAAAATATTATGAAAATAATTCGCATTTTCAAAAAATCAATCCGAAAAATACATTTTATGTTTACACTATAATATTTGTAATATTTTTTATTCAATTTTCAATTATTTATGCACTTTTCGTTCTTATATGAATACCGACCGTATGCCAAAAAAATCAGTAATATTTTTGAAAATCAAATTACAAATTATATTTAGACTAGTAAATTGTATTATGATACAAACATTTTTGACAAGTATTAATACTCAGTATTGTAGTCTAAAAATACCTTTAACTGGTGAGAATGTATTGGTAGAAGCACAAAAATAAACACAGCTGTTCAAAAGGTACTAAATAATAAATGTATTTTTGATAGGTTTTTTTTTTTGTGTGTAATTACTGGGATTTCATATACTAGTGAATGAAAATATTAGTTAATTAATTTTTTCAAAAGATATTTCATCTTTAAACATATTATAAACACGTCTTATCGTTATTTTTTTCTGCACTAATGGAAAAAGAAAATAATATGTGAAATACTTTTTTAATTTTCAATACGAAAATTTACAACTTTTCTTTTTTCAGTTTTAATTAAAATGAAATGTCAAAGAATGAAAAATATTTTAAATCTCTCAGAACTCGTCTGTGTGAAGAGAATAACAAATTTTGTTTGACAACCCCAAGGGGAATAGACTATAAGGCAAGGCGAATAGACTATAAGGTGAAGTCATTTCATTTTGCGGAGAATTCATGAAATTTTTTATACATATATGTAGTTTGACAGCGTCGGGTTTGAGATAGAATTTTTTTTATATGGAGTTTGACAGCTTCGGGCTATGTTTCCATGGACAAAAAAATTTTTATTTTAATATTTTTTTCTTGGTTTACCCATTCTACATAATCTCTATTTTCAATTGGAAAACATAAATTTACTTTTTACCTGTTTTTTTGAATTTTATTTATGAACAAAAAACAAAATTCTCTTAAAAAAAGGTAGGCAAAAAACTTAGTTGATTCACTGTATATGTAGTTTGACAGCGTCGGGTTTGAGAGAGATTTTTTTTATATGGAGTTTGACAGCTTCGGGCTATGTTTCCATGGACAAAAAAAAACAATCAGCTGTTGAAATGAAATCACCTTATTAGTTGCATCATGGACAACCCCTTCAGTTTACAGCATAATTACAATTGGAACCACAACCGCTGTCGACAATGAGTTTTCTTACTCATTCAGGGTGCACTCATAAGGTGAAGTCAATTCAACAGCTGATCACTCTTTTTTTTATTTGAGGTAGATACAACTGTCAAAGTACACCATTTAGAGTTGCCACAATCCGAAAAAATATGTACATCTATCTAGGGATTCATTATATTTTTAAGACAAAAAATTAATAAATACATTTTATATTCATTTTAATCCGCAGTAAATTTATGCGAAATACTCAAAAATTTTTAACAACTTTCCATGGTAGTGGTTTGGTCACATTTCTATAAAGATCATTATATATTTCTTATACGACAATAGTAGAGACCTACACGGTATTATAAGTTCCCAATATTGACTGATAAAAAATAATATGTATATAATTTGTATTTTTGCTACTACATACTTACAATTTTGTAATCTAATATACTTTTTTGTTATTTTAATTGATAATTTATTTACTTTTTTAATAAGTAAATAATAAATAATATTCTAACCCCCTTATTCACAAACAATATTTTTATTTTATTAAAGGTTTATAAAACAAAATTTCCATACAAAATACCGTTTATAAAATAAAAATTTTGTTTGTGAATAAGGGGGCTTACCCTTATTTTTCAATTCATGTATAATTTTTAATAAATTTTATCTTATAATACATATTTACTTTAAGTGAAGAGATTTTTGGGCATGTGGGATTGTCTTTTTGTAAGGTAAATTAAAAAAAAAAAAACACGGTGGCAACATGTAAATTTTTTGACAGAAGTATCTACTTTTGTTGTGTTTGTAGAATTGACTTCACCTTATAAGTGCACCCTGATTCTATTCTACTTTTATTGTGCTTTCTAGCGATCCTCTCAGGGTGCACTTATAAGGTGAAGTCAATTCTACAAAAACAACAAAAGTAGATACTTCTGTCAAAAAAATTACATGTTGCCACCGTGTTTTTTATTTTAATTTACCTTACAAAAAGACAATCCCACATGGCCAAAAATCTCTTCACGTAAAGTAAATATGTATTATAAGATAAAATTTATTAAAAATTATACATGAATTGAAAAATTATTCACAAACAAAATTTTTATTTTATAAACGGTATTTTGTATGGAAATTTTGTTTTATAAATCTTTTATAAAATAAAAATGTTGTTTGTGAATAAGGGGGTAGAATATTATTTATTATTTACTTATTAAAAAAGTAAATAAATTATCAATTAAAATAAAAAATTAGTATTAGATTACAAAATTGTAAGTAGTAGCAAAAATACAAATTAATATGTATAATATTATTTTTTATCAGTCAATATTGGGAACTTATAATACCGTGTAGGTCTCTACTATTGTCGTATAAGAAATATATAATGATGATCTTTATAGAAATGTGACCAAACCACTACCATGGAAAGTTGTTAAAAATTAAGATATCTATGATAAAATCGAGTTTTAATAATTTTATTTACAATTGTGGGATGTTTGTACTCTCAATTGATTAGTAAAAAGTTCCCTATAATTGATAAAATAGATGCATATTTAGGACAAATAGTTTGTGCAATTTTTGAGTTTTTCGCATAAATTTACTACGGATTAAAATGAATATAAAATTTATTTATTAATTTTTTGTCCTAAAAATATAATGAATCCCTAGATAGATGTACATATTTTTTCGGATTGTGGCAACTCTAAATGGTGTACTTTGACAGTTGTATCTACCTCAAATAAAAAAAATGAATGATCAGCTGTTGAATTGACTTCACCTTATAAGTGCACCCTGGATCCTCTCATTGTTCTCTTATTTTTATGTTGTAGCGTTGCCATATGTTCATAATATTTTGCTAAAAATCATGCAAAATTGTAAAAACAGGGTTATAATGCGCATTTTTCGCCATTTTTTATTATAAATGGAAGATATTAAATGAAATAAATATAAATTAAAATGAGAAAACATATTATATCCCGTTCCCGTATTTTATTCTGAATAATTTTTTAATCATTCTTATTTATTTTTAAAAAATAATTATAATTTTGCATTTATTTTTTGTGATCTGTCGACAGCGGTTCCAATTGTAATTAAGCTGTAAAATTGAATATGTCGAGTTTTAGTTATTTTTTATACAAAACATTTTTTTAATTTCTTACAACACTATGTATAACAATGATTTTTATGTCACAAAAATATTCAAAATTTCGTTGAAACAATCTTAAATCTTGTGAGTAGATGTCAGGGTTATTACCCGTGAAATATGTCTTGATTTCACCAGTAAACATATTATTATTCTAGTTTTGCACCGTTTTCCAAGTTTGGATCTTTTTTCAAAGTATTTTATTAGAAAACTTGGTCACCCAAGAGACTCAATTATTTTCATAATAAATACGCATTTTCAGTTTTGTCTGTGTATTTGAAATAAATTGTAATAAGACTACTTTTTTATCATTTTAGTGATGAATAATTATCAAGCCGCTGCTGCAGCTGCTCATACTTTTGCAGCTCCATCAGCATCACCTCATACCACTACTACACGGCAAGGGTTTCCATCTACTAATTCCCCCGGGCCCACCATTGATATGTACAGTTCAACGGCCGCCGATAATGTGGGCTATGTACAAGCCACCAGTCCTCAACCCTCAGGGTTTCCGATTGCCGTGAGTCGAGCTCCACTCAACTATAGTCCGGTGAGCAAAAAAAATAATTTTTTTACTTACAACAATCTACACACGTCATTTCATTAACTACGTATGTATGTATGTATGTATGTATGTATGTATGTATGTATGTATGTATGTATGTATGTATGTATGTATGTATGTATGTATGTATGTATGTATGTATGTATGTATGTATGTATGTATGTATGTATGTATGTATGTATGTATGTATGTATGTATGTATGTATGTATGTTATGTATGCATGTATGTATATATTTATGTAGTATGTACATATGTATAAGGTGCAATTATTTTATTTTTATAATTTTTTAATATTTTCTTCGATATCTACTTATATTCATTATTAAAAGGCAGCTTGTTACTATTTTCTCCATACATATGTATGTACATATGTTTTTGTTTGTATTTTTAATTGTTACAAAGTAAACTCATTCTATTGTATCTTATTATTAGTCATCTCTACTAAGTTTTGAATAATTAAAATGTTACTAATGCAAATAAATAGTTTAACGGTTACCGGTATAAATCAATTACATTTGCATCAATATCCGTTTAAATTCGTTTTTTCTTTTTAATTTTTGCACCATTTTCTTAAGCGTTTTTTTCTTATTATTAACGTTATTCCTATGTTTTCTTCGAATTGTTTTTTATACATTTTATATTGTCCCTATCTATGTATCTTCTACCTAAAAGTTAATATGAGTGTGTTTGATTTAAATGTTTTTTCTCTCGTCTCGTTTCCGTTTAGATCTATTCATTGAACTTTGCGATGGCTAATATATAAGACTGAAATCCTAAAGCAGTTGCACAAGGTAGGATTTTTTTATTTTATTGACTTTTATACATATTTTTTATTTATCTTCATTGTGTAATTCAATGTTTTAAATTTTATTATTTTTCCGCTTTATCATTATTTCTACATACATATAAGGATTTTGTTGTGGCCACATTTTATAGGAATAAGTAGAGATTTGAATGTATAATAACTTCAAATACACCGTTATTTAAAAGTTAAGTGCTAAGCTAAAAATATAAAAAATGCGAAGAAAAAGTGCTAAGTCCTTACTATTTTTATACCCTCCACCACCATCAGTGGTGGAGGGTAGGGTCGTTCCGTGTGTAACACCAAGAAATATTCATCTAAGACCCAACAAAGTATATATGTATGTATATTCTGGGTCCTTAAAAAATTCTGAGTCGTTTTAGCTATGTCCGTCTGTCTGTCTGTGTAAAACAAGCTCACGTTAAAATTTTCCTAATTCTTTAAAAGTTTTCTCAGAAACTCCCAATGATATTTCGATGAATTTTGTCACACATTATTTTTTCAGGGCAGTGATTATGTTTAAAATCTTCACAATCGATCCAATATTTCCCATAGCCCCCATACAAATGTATATATTCCGGGAAATTAGGTTATCATTAATAACTCTCTCAAATATATCGGTATCAACACAAAATTTTGTACATGCAAATATAATATGTTCATTATCAAATAAAGCTATCTTGATAAAATTCGACACAAACATGTTTTGTCTAAATTTGAATCACTCTACGAAATTTTTCCCGAATACACCCATAATTGGTCATAGCTCCCATATAAGGTCCACTTCCGAAAATCACTTAAACGCATATGTCATTGAATTCTAAAGCTTTCGGGATAAAATTCGACTTTTATATGTTTTGTGTACATATAAATCATTCTACTACTTTTTTCCCGGATCGGTCCATTATTGATCATAGCTCCCATATAAGGTCCACTTCTGAAAATCACTTAAACACATATATTTCTTTGTCAAATAAAGTTATCTTGAGAAAATTCGAAAGAAATATGTTTTGTCTTTATATGAATCACTCTACGAAATTTTTTTCCGGATAGGCTTCCATATAAGGTGCGCTTACGAAAATCACTTAAATCTTCTTTGAATAATAAAGCTATCGAGATAAAGTACGACTTGAATATGTTTTGTGAGCATATAATTCTACCAAATTTTTTCTGGATCGGTCCATATTTGGTAATAGCTCCTATATAAGGTTCACTTCAAAAAAATTCCTTAAACGCACATATTTCATTATCAAATGAAGATAAAATATGTTTTGTGTACAAATGAATCACTCTACGAAATTTTTCCGGATAGGCCCTTAATTGCTCATAGCTCCTATATAAAGTCCACTTCCAAAAATCACCAAATGCACATATTTCATTAATTAATAAAGCTATTGGTGTAAAGTTAGACTTGATCTTTTTTTGCATATAAACCATTACACGAAATTGCTTTCTGATCGGTCCATAATTGGTCACAACTCCCATATAAGGACCATTTCCAAAAATTACTTAAAAGCACATTGACAATCAAAGTTATAGGTATAAAATTTGACATAAATGTGTATTTTGTATATAAATCGTTATACGGATTTTTTTCTGGACCGGTCCATAAGTTGTCTTAGCTCCCATATAAGGTTAACTTCTGAAAATCAATTAATACCACTTAATTTGTTATTAAATGATTATATCTGTGTATAGGTAAATCATTCTATTAAAACGAACTGGCCTATTAATATAAATTTTTCTGGACCTAATCAAAATTAGTTCGACAAAAATTTTGGCAAGATATCTAAAATTAGATAGTTAAATGGGTTTTAATAAAAAGTAGCTTGCTGGTGGAGATTATTTAAGATTCGGCATAGCCGAATATAGCACTCTTACTTGTTTATAATCTTATTAATTAGACATATACAAATAAAAATAAGTATTAAACAAGAGTGTAGTTCTGAAATGTAAAACCTTCAATGAGTAAAAAGTAAGTATTGTCAATAAACCGATTTTTATTGAGAGGTGACTCTTCTCTCCGTAGAGTCAATTATGGACCGAATCTCATAGAATTTGGTAGAGAAATTTTGGTTCCTATAAAACTGGTTTATGTATGTCGAATTTTATCGCTATAATAGTACTTTTAAGCTACCGGTAATAATTCGAAATAATTCGAAAAAATTTTCAAAAAATTGGGTTCGAATACGTTTTTAACTATAAAATCCGGTTAACCGGTTTTTTTATTTATGGTCATCTTGTCTGCAAATCTCTTATGAAAAGTTTTTAAATGTTATCTAAGTGCCGGTTTACACAGGGAAACTTTAGATTTCCAAAAAAAGTTTCCCTGTGTAAACCGGCACTAACAAGCGGTATATTAATATTAATTTCTTATAAAGAGATTTATTGCACCTTAAAAAATGCTTTGAAACTACCAGAGTTTTTTCATTAATTTCAGAATTGTACTCTCATTTGATAACTTACAGGTTTATCCTTTATAAACAAGAGTCACAAGACTGGGCATTTAAAAATCCTTATAATTATTTCATTAATCCTTTTTGGTGCAAATATATACGGTTGTAAACAAATGTAAATAAAATTTTATGTTTGTTTATGTGTGCGCATAATCAATTAAATTTAAGCAACGGTATTTAATAGGTGTAGCACTTTTACGCAATTGAAGATATATCTTGTTGATGACAGAGATCTAAGGACAGAGCAGGATCTTTACAAACTTGCCAAGAATAGGCGTAAATTTTTTAAAAATGTGACATTTTTGAATATGACCTCCGAGTCAAATACGCATTAAAAAATTTGTAAATTCGAACTTTGTATGATAATTATAAAATTTTTGCAAAATTCAAATTTCTTTGTATTTTTTACTAAAGACGCGATGCAAAAATTTTGTAATCATATCGCAAATAAACGAAAATGCTGTAAATTTAATTCTCTACAAATTTTGTTATGACTCCTAAATACGTAGGATGCACTAGAGGGCAGATATATCTTTGATCTCCAATATTTCATGCAATTAAGATAAGATTTTGGACAGACCATCAAGTTGATGGTCTGTGGTAATTTTTACTTTATTCGGCAATAAAACCTGGATCATTTTTCATTCTCCAACTGGTACTTTTTGAGTTTTCTATATTATTGAAATCGAAACATGAAACTAATAATAAAGGGACTTTTCGGTACTTTTTCGTTCTACTCAGGAACTTTTTTGAGTTTTCTTTACAATGAAACCTAGAAACATGAAATTAACCATGTAGAGCCCGTAGTAAATGAGAATCTATAAAAGGGGATATTTTGGTACTTTTTCGTCCTTCGACTGGTACTTTTTTAATTTTCTATAAAATTTAACCTAGAAACATGAAATTAAGCACGTAGAGCCCGGAGTAAATGAGAATCTATAAAAGGGGACTTTTTGGTACTTTTTCGTTCTTCAAAAGTAACTTTTTGAATTCCAGAAACATGAAATTATGCACGTAGAGACCGGAGTAAATGAGAATCTATTCTAATCTTTTTGGTACTTTTTCGTTCTTTGACTTTTGAGTTTTCTACAAAATTTGGACCTAGAAACACGAAATTAAGCACTTAGAGCCTAGAGTAAATGAGGATCTATAAAAAGGGACTTTTTGGAACTTTATTATACTTCGACTGGTACTTTTTGAGTTTTCTATAAAATTAAACCTAGAAACATAAAAATAAACATGTAGATCCGGGACTTTTTAGTACTTTTTCGTTCTTCGACTGATACTTTTTGAATTTTCTATAATCATGAAGCTAGAAACCGAAAATTAAGCATGTAGGGCCCTGAGTAAGTGATAAAATATAAAAGGAGGATTTTTGGTACTTTTCGTTCTTCAAAAGGTACTTTTTGAATTTTCTATAATATTGAATTAAGCAACTTTTCGTTCTTCAACTGGTACTATTTGCATTTTTTATTATAATGAAGCTAAAAACATAAAACAAAGCAATCAGGGACTTGAGTGAATCAAAATTTGAACTGCAGTATTTTCTGGTACTTTTTCGTTCTTTAACTGGCACTTTTTGAATTTTCTATAATATTGATCTTAGGAACATGAAATTAAATAAAAGAGGTTTTTCGACACTTTTTCGTACTTCATCTGGTACTTTTTGAGTTTTCTAAAATATTAAATATATAAACATAAAATTAAACACGCAGTATCCTGATTGAACGAAAATTTAAAAAAGATTACTTTCTGGTACTTTTTTGTTATTTTACTAATACTTTTCGAATTGTCTATAATAATGAACCTAAAAACATAAAATTATACACGCAGGAATTTTTGGTTGAAAATCAAACATGCATCATCCTGATTTAATTTAAATCTATAAAAAGGCACTGTCTGGTACTTTTTCGTTCTTCAACTGTTTTTTTTTTAATTGTCTGTAATATTGAGACTAGAATCATAAAATCAAACTTATATAAAAGAGGACTTTTTGATATTGCAGATATGTATGTACAGTGTCTCTCATAAGTATTCGAATTTAGGTAAACTATGAAAAGAAACCAAATTTAATAATATATTTTGTGTGCAATAAAATAAATTAATTTGTTATATTGTCTAGACAGTCCTTAGGTTTGATATCACGCTTTTTAAAACTTGAAAAATTTACATTTACTTAAATTAAATTAGCTTTTTTTAAAAAAGTCCATAAAATTGTCTCACAAAAGTATACGAATTTTTCCTGTATTTCATATTTGAGCATATTATACGAAACACAAATTTTAGAATCGAATGGTTTTTATGCTTTAAATTGTTTTAAGGGGTTACTATCAACCGAAATGATATATTTTTGGCCCATTTGGTCCACAATTTTTGGGGATTTGTACCCTCTTTTTATGTAATATCATTAAAATGGCGATTTTTGGCAATATTTGTAGTATTTTCTCTTTTTTTCCAGAGATAAAACCAAAATTTGATATTGGAATTTAATAGACCCCTTGGAGTATCTAAAAATAGTATTTTTTGTTACAAG